ACTCGGTATATATGCTTGTCCACTACTTGTCCACTTCGCCTTGTACATGTATCTGTTCGAATTGAACTCTACTGTTGAACATGATCTTTGTCTTTTTCTTGTTCAACCTAAATTCGACTTTCAGACTTTCTCTATTCATATCGTTTATTAGTTGCTGCATTTCATTTGCAGATTCACTGAAGAGAACAATATCATCTGCAAATCTTAAATTGCTATTCTCCTAATTTCATACCCTTTCTGTTCCATTCTAGCTTGTTGAATATTTCCTCAAGGCAAACTGTAAACAGATTTGGTGAGATGGCATCGCACCTTTTTTAATTGGTATTTTATCTGTTTCCGTGTGGAGCTTGACGGTTGCAGTCCCATTTTTTATATATCTTCCAATATTTTACAATATATCTCCTCTACTCCCTGTTTTCGAATAGCTTCTAGTACTGCTGGTATCTGTGCGGAGACAAATGCCTTTTCGAAATCATTGAATGCCATACACAGCGGTTTCCTATATTCGTTTATTTTTTCTCTTATTTGAGTGAGCGTATGGATGTGGTCAGTAGTTGAGAATCCAGTGCGGAAGCCTACCTGTTCTCTAGGCTGGTTAGAATCCAGACTGTCAGAGATGCAAGTTGTGGTGACATTTGTGAACAGTTTGTAAGTAACTGGGTCGGTAGTTTTTTTTAGATCCTTTCAATCCCCGTTTTATGTATTAAAATAATTGTTGCATTTTTCCAGGCTTTCGGAGTTTTTCCGCTGAGAAGGAATTTATTCAAAAGATTGGCTAGTTTCAATGTTGCAATTTCTCCTGTATCTATTATACGGTCTATACTAATTCCGTCTTCAAAGGTGTTTTCCCTCTCTTCATGCCTTTAAGCACTCTTTTTCTTCCGTTGTGATGTTAGGTACGTCGCTAGTTACTGCGTTCGCTTCTATCTGTGATTGTTTATTTGTCTTGTATAGATCCATGTAAAAGTCTCCCACTACTCTTATGATTTCATTCTTATAATATGTCACTTCTCCGTCTGGTTTCTTAATTGAATACATTTGATTTCTCCCTATTCCGAGTCTTTTTTTGCCTGTTTTCATGCTGCTTCCGCACTGGATTCTGTTTCAATTATTATTTGAGTATTGAATTTCCACACATCTCTCTTCTTTTTCATCTATAGTCTTTGTTAGTTCAGCTAATTATGTTTTGTCCCTGTTTGACAATACTTTCATAACCCTACCTAAGCTCTTTAGTTTCTGCCGATAACTTGCTGGAGCTTTGCTTGACGTTCTTACCGCCTACTTCAAATGCAGCGTCCTTGATTATGTCATTGAACTGTTTATTCATTTGGTCATTGTTGTGATCTTTGTCCCTAAGAAGTGAATATCTGTTTTGAATGTTGAGGTTAAAGTCTGTCGCTCGGGTCTTCATGTAGGCTAAAGTTGACTGCGGTTTTCGTATGGGTTTATTCCTTTCCCCTTTGAGGTATGATTTAATTTGGCCGCTGCCAACGTTTACTTTATAATTAACTTAGCCTATTTGAAATTATGAAGTCCATGAAGTTTATATATATTCATATATACATACTGTATTTATATATACATATATATTTAAATACATATATATACGTATATATATATATATATATATATATATATATATATATATATATATATATATATATATATATATATATACATATATATATATATATATATATATATATATATATATATATATATATATATATATATATATATATATATATATATATATATATATATATATATATATATATGTATGTATATATATACGTATATATGTGTGTGTGTCTTTATATATGTATGCATGTATGTATGTATATATGTATTCCACCTGTTTCTTCACTACATGGGGAAAGAAATTTGCTTTAAAGTTTGATCACATCGCTCCTCTTCTCCGGAAAGCCTGTCTGAATATGTTTCTGGTGATTATTTTGGAGTTCCATAGTGTTATCAAGGTGTATGTGTTGCTTTCCTGCGCAGATAATATATTGTACTTCATTGACATCCAAATCCTATACTTTTTTACGATAGAGGATATCCGTAGTAGTGGTCCAATTTCTCTGGAATCCTGGCCTAAATGTTTAATATTCAATAGTAATTTGAGATGTTTAAACATTCCAAAAACACTGGATTCCTGTCAACCAATCTTGGAGTACCTCATTCATCAGATTATTTAGGGAAATCCGTAGAACTATCTAACGCTCTACTACCAACGAAGAAAGAGGACAAACAGCTTATTTTAAATGCTTCGGAACACTGGAATTACTTAAGGGATTTTATGAAATGATATCTTTGCACAGTTATGGGGATCAGGTGGTAAATCTGTATGTGGTTTCTAACCATCTCGGTGAAAAAGCAGGGTATGGTTCTAGGATCATAGGATCGACCGTTAGGTCATACCCTCTCTAGGGGGGCGCGCCCCTCTAAAGAGGCGTCAGTAATTTCCAAGGGGGCGTGACCCCTTGGGAAAAAAACAGGAATATCTCTTATTATATTTGTCGTACTCTTAGTGATAGCGTGGTCAAATAATGAGAAGTTTAATAGTAATGTGACTAATTCATACTTAGTGAAAAGACTAAATGACGATTTTCCTTAAAATCTGGGAGGGAGTTTTATTCATAGATGCAAGGGGAGAGTGAAGGGAATAACAAATTCCTAAAGGGGCGTGGTAGTAAAAAGGTTAAGATCCACTGCTCTAGAGAATGTGGGCTAATCCCCAGAAGTACCTTTGGAACATCCTGTGTGTAGTTAAACATTAAGAAGTATGTAGCTCATCTTACTGGAATGGTTATTGGAAAACGGAACTTCAATGATAACAGACCTCAACGAAGAACAACTCTTGTGACTCACCAGCTAGGAAAACTGAGCACTGCTGTTGTTCTTTCAAAGGAAGAAGAGCTCCAGGAAAAGAAAAAAACAAAGACTACCTTAGGTTGGAAGGGGTAGGAGCAAAACTGGTGAAAGGCTATCTACTCATACCAAACGCCATCACTGAGAGTGGCTCAAAATTGGTTTGATCTGCATTATTTCAGTAAAGTTGATGGCCATCATTTCGAGATGCAGTCCATCAGCTTAATTGGGTTAACGCTAAATCAAATCATAAATCTGATTGGTGTGATTGGTCTGACTTGAGCGGCAGCCAGTGAGGCATGGATGTCCCGTCGTCATCATTAGCAGGCACAATTTTTCGAAGGTGGTATGACCAAGCCCTCTCGCTGGGACCGGATTCGATTTTTTTATTCGTATGGTCTTTATGTCTGCTAATTGTTCTTGTCTAAATATACTCTGTCTATTTACTTCGTCTTTTACTATATCCGAAGAGGAGGTCTCGACAAGCTCGAATCATCGCGATTTATTCCGATATTATTGTGGCAGTGTGTTATTTTTGTAGCTGTGTATAGCCGTTATCTTGGTTATTTATCAAGACATATAGGATGTAACACTGCTTCTAGTAGTAACATTATGATATATCTAATAAAAACTGATTATTGCAAGTCAAGCTCACGACCGAATAGGAAAACATGGAAAGCATAGCGAATGGGCGTGGTCACTGGGCGGGGCAGCGAAGAGTCGCGTGTCACTTCAGGGGCGTGGTCTGCTTCGCCCCGGACGGCCACGCGAGGCATTCAGGTCATTAGGCGAAGTTTGTTGTGGCCAGACTGACCGGAGGCTGAGTTTGCGGAGGAGGGTGCATCAACCAGCGAAGGGAGAGCGTCACAATGGGTAATAAAGTCGTCGCCTTCACTGAAGAACAGCTCGATGAATACCAGGTAAGAAACACAGAGGACAATGTGAATTTTATGTCAGTGACGTGTGCATTTTAGTATTTCATTAATAATGCTTGAACTACACGCTACTCGGCTAGCAATGCACAGACTGTTAAACTTCCCTTGAAATGGGTCTGGACACTTTAAAGATACCGTCCAATATAGGATGTACCGAAGCCCTAGTCAAGAGACAGGTATTTGTCCATGATATGATGGTTTGGCAATAAGCAGAAGCAGAGAGCGCGGCGCATGATACCGCACGGAGGCCGGAGAGAATGTTGTGTGCAACTGATAAAGTTATAGATTACGATTGCATTCTTTACCTATTTCCTTTTTATCGGACAAGCAACCTCGATCAAACGATGCTCATTTCCCCAGCAAATAACCGCAATTATTTAGTATTAGTATTAGCGGTATTATTCCAAATGATGATATCGGTACAGTGTCAGGCACCAGGTTGATTTTATGGTTTTATGCATTTATATAATCAAAATGTAAAATCAATGATGGCATCATGGTTGTCATATATCTTCCCGTTACCCGAGATGAACAGTAGTCAAAACTAGTGTATCAGGCTACATCAAGGCAATTGCATGTTGCATATTGTATCAACACTAACAATAACACATTTTATCCACTACAAGAAATGACATTTGATCCTTTAGATTTTGAGAATTTGCAGCAATTTGTAGCTTAAAGTGGTCGTCTTTCAAAAGTATGACATTCAACTTTTTATGTAAATAATGCATAGCATGACAGCAGGAATTCATGTCTACCGCAGCGTGGTAAGAATGATTTTATTAACAGTTCATACCTTTATCCTTTTTAATTTTCTGGTTACATTTCACACAATAAGTTTCTGCAGCAAGAGTTTCGCTGGAGGATGGAAAAAACGCAAAATTACAAATGTAGCGTTATTTGCGTCGTAATATATGAAGAGCACCATTCTTATGTTAACTGTTGATGAACTACCGCTACCTTGTTAACTACATGGTTAGAATTCGCATTGCAAGTTAACTAACTTTTCATTGATAACCACAAATGTATGTCATGGAGCAATTGAGATTTATCATCAATTTGATCTTCCGAAATACGATTGTGTTAGATATGATGCCACTGCCGATGCCATTGCTATATGCCAATAATAATATGGATTTCCATCACATTTCCTCAGGCCTGTACCTTCCTCTCAAGAAAGGACATCTTGAG